TATAGTCCGAAGGGTGGAAATGAGAATAAAAAATGAAGAAGGAAGTGCAGGTGCGCTGAAAAACGAACGTGGTGAACTCTTCACCAAAACTGCAAAACTGTGAAAGAAAGAAGAATGCAGTAAAAGAAAGAAGATGTGTGTGGCACCCTTATTTTATTTTTATTTTTTCTCCCTCTGCCTATCAATTTTCCTTTTCTGCTCCTCTCTCCCTTGTGTTTGACACCTCTTCCTTCACTCTGTCTCTTTCCCATAGCGTGCAAGTGGGTTGTTATGGCATACGGGAATGGGGGCAACTCGCGCTCAACTTCATCAACGTGGAGGGCCTTGTACGTTAGAGGCAGAGTGGAGGAGTTAAGAAGACTGAGAAATTGAATGATTTCAACGTGTCTTTGTTTTTTATTTTTATCCTTTGTTCACTGCGAAAACATTTGTAAAACACTGAAAGAAATAAGAATACAGTGAAACAAAGAAGAAGAGGACACTGTTTTGTGTCATTCTCGTTTGTCTCTCTTTGCCTGTCTGTCCTTATTTTCTTCGCTCATCTTATTTCTTCTCTACTTCACGTGCTTACGCTCTTAGTCAATAGTTCTGTGACAACATATATATGGCCATGCTATGGCCTCTAGTGCCAGCGGTGTGTCTGGAGTATTTTTTGGCTGCGATAGACCTTTCGTTGTTTAGTGGGTGTTCTGCTGGCTTGTGATGGGGTGTGAACCGACAATCTGTAGAGTTTTCCATCTGGTGTGGGTGAGTGAGTCTGCTTCGATTTTCATCACAGGTCTTGAGGGGCAGTGGTTGGTGCCCACCTCAGGGTATTAGTTGTTGGCCAGTCGTTGATGCTTAACCACAACCGGGGTTAAGGTGGATTATCACTTACATTGTAATTAGTAAGGGGATTTTGTAGATTGTTGAGGGTTCAGCCTCCTGATGAGTCAGTGAAACTCAGACGAAACAGTTTGTCACAGCCTCTCGTTTGTTGTCCTCTTCTCCCTCTCTGCCGACGGTTTACTGGGCGGTTCTGTTTGATGATATATATGTACGTATATGTGCAATTGTGCTGCTTCGGCGGCAAACAGGTGTGTGGGCACTTGGCGCTGAACCATTTTATACACAAACATGACCAACATTGCATCTTTTACTACACCATCTCTCTATTTGTTTTGTTTTATGGATGCTTTGTGATGATTCTTGGATGGAATGAAAGAGAATTTGGGGTTTTTTAGAACACACACACAGTGGTGTTGTATGTTGAGAGGCATTGGGGGGGGGGGGGGGGGGGGAGTTTCCATTCACTCTGTGTTGCGTCTCTCTCTCTCTCTCTCTCTCTCTCTCTCTCTCTCTCTCTCTCTCTCTCTCTCTCTCTCTCTCTCTCTCTCTCTCTCTCTCTCNTCTCTCTCTCTCTCTCTCTCTCTCTCTCTCTCTCTCTCTCTCTCTCTCTCTCTCTCTCTCTCTCTCTCTCTCTCTCTCTCTCTCTCAGAGTGGTGTTGTACGTTGAGGGGTGCGGAGGAGGGGGTAGAACTTCCTTCTGCTCTGCGGCTGAAAAAGAAATAGGTGGTTCGCACGGCGTGTGGGCTGTGCGCTCATTGTCGGGAACTGCTCTCTCTCTCTCTCTCTGAACGGTGTTTGAACGCGGAGAGGTGCATGGGGAGGTGTGCAGAATCGGGAGGATGATTGCACGGCGTCAGGATGGGGATGCAAGTGATTGTAGCCCTTCTCAACTGTAGAAGAAAGGGAAGTAGATAAATATTATTCGCCCCGTCTTTTTCTGGTCTTGCTCCTCTTTCGCCGCCTCCTACTCTTCCTTTTTCCCCACTTCCGATTGTGATGGTTTGCAGATCGCGGCTCCCGGTCCTTCGTGAGTCTCGAAGTACCGATCCTTTTTTTTCCCTCTTTTCTTTTGTAGTGTGCTCTTGCTCCTCCCCTTTCCCTTTCTCCTGCTCCTCTTTCACCCCTCCATTTTTTATCTTCAGCTGACCGTTCGCAGATCGCGACTTCGAGATGTTCGTTAATTTGAATTTGATCTTGAATGGTCAGTCCTGTGTCTTTTTTTTTTTGTTCAAAGTATTCGAAGTAGCAAGAAACTTCTTGTGATGTTACCCTTGCACACCCGCTCAAAAACAGTCGTGAAAATAGTCGTCGATCTCCGTTTGTTTCATCGTTTATGTGTCTGATAATGGCCACAGAATCATGTCCCCTATTTCGAATCTGATTGTCTGGGAATGCTAGACTCTTGCAAGGAATATGAGTGGGAATGATATACAGAAAACCAAGTTGTGAAATCACACAGATGTCCAAGTAGTCATGTACAAGCAGAGAGCACAAATGCACCGAGATTCCATCCAAATAAGAGCAATACAAAGAAGTCATGAGCCAATGTTCAAGCCCTCAGGCCACACCAACACAGTATCCAAAGTCGCTCCTCTCTGTCTGGCGCCCAGCGCCCAGCCTACACTACTCGCCTATCCTTCCTACAACAGCATTCTTGCAACAGGCGCACTTCGACTCTCGAAGACCAATGTACATGACATCAACACCAGCCCGGCTGTGGCTGCTTGTGCTCTGCTGCCCAGCAGCAACCCTCTTCACCACACACGCGCCCGCACACGCTCTGGCCTCAGCACATCAAGCAGTCTCTAACGCAGCAGCGCAGCGTGACCGCATTGCCTGCGTGGGCCCAAATGCCTGCCCCTGGCTGCCCTCCTTCCTATATGGAAGTGGCAGCCCCTGCTTGGCTGCGTGTGGCCTGGATGGGAAGCTTCCAGTAGCTTCCGGTCGGGCCCCAGTACCTGCACCCAGGCCCAGTGCTGCATTTGAGGGCCTGGGCCCTTTACTGTTGGGCACGGCCTGGGTCTTCGGACTTGGGCCGTTTGCTGCATTTGCACAGGACACGGGGTATGTACGTCGACAATTCTGCTTTTGCGTAGGCCTATGGCCACTTCGTGATGTATCGGCCCTGCATTGTGTGTATGTGCCCAGGCGCAACTGCCATGACCTGGGCCAAACTGTTCGACGCAGCTTAGGGAGGCTCACGCGTCCACTCAACCAACTGGCGGGCTGCAATACCCTGAGTACCCACATATGAAAAATGCCGAATTTTGGCCTCTGGTGAATATTCAGGCCCGCCTTCACCTAGGGCAGGCGCTTGGCTTGGTGGGGGCCTCTGCCCAGAACATGTGCATGTCGAATAAGGGCCCCGCGAGGGCTCATTCCACGCACTCTCTACAAACCCAGGGAAAAAGTTCCAGTTGCTCAAGTGAGTAATTACTATCTGTTAGTTGTCGTGGGACGCTACACTCTTGTCAGATTCGAACGTGATTAATCGGATACATAGGTAGGTAAATAGCCCATGTCCTTTGTAGCCGTGTGCTCCTATGAATGCTCGTGCGAGAAGGCTGTCTTCGGCGTCGATCAAGATTAGTGGGGAGTTGGTGTTTGATCCTTGTTTCGCTAAGCGGGAGCGTGAATACTCGAGAAGTGTTATCTATCCGTCTACGTTGGTGTTCAATCCGTCTATGAGTTTCCTTGCTTTTCATATGTGGGATCCCCGTGCTAAATATCTCTTGCTTCTCTTCCCTAGCTGCACTTCCCTAGCTGCTCTTCCCTTCTCTGATTTTCTCTCTTAGCTTGTCGTATTCAATCGGCTGTCTGTTCATAAAACTGTCCTCCTCTGACAAACTGGTTACTCTCCCCTTGTTTTTTTCTCTCACGCCTCTCCCTTTCTCCTCTCTGTCCTTCTTGTCTTTTATCTATGATCGGCGGAGTCTCTATTTTCTCCTATTATAACACTGTCTCCTATTCGATTACCCTTATGTCATGTGCGACTGGTGGTCCTGCCCTCGATGTTCTCTCCTTCTGCTGTGAAGTATTCGGTCCTCTTCTCGGTGCACTCATTACCCACAGCCCCCGGTGTTTTCTCCTTACTTCTATTGCAGAGTATTCGGTCCTCTTCTCGTTGCCCTCATTACCCGCTTCCCTCTTTCCTTATTTGGTACTCCCTTGCTGTCTCCTATGCTTTCAACTCCTCTTTGTTGCCCTCGACGCTCCTTTTCCGCTGAAGCTTCGTGGTGATGATTGGGCAAGTTTTGGTTGGGCGCTTACCTCAAATAGAATGGATGTGTAAGCTCGCGTTTCACCTTTATTTCCGAGAAAGTGCTTTTGCTTGCTTTCGGTGGTGAGTTGTCGTTTCCTCTTTCACTGTCGTACCTTCCTCCTGCGCTGAGCTGTTTCCGTGTGCCACACTCCTTTGCACCTTCCTCTCTTTTCCCTCTTCCTTGCTGAGACTCCACACTAGTCTTCACTCTCTTTCCCTTCTTCTTCCCCGGTCTTCCTACCCACTCTTCTCTGCATTGTTTTTCTGGGTTTGAGGATGGAAAGTGCTGGCGCGGCCTCGCTAGCTATGGTTTTCCGAATTCCTCTCGTCACTTCCAGCCTTCCAACACTACTTTTGTGGACTACTTCGCGTGCGATGGTAGAGTTCCCAACTCTCGTGCTCCCGCGCTTCCACGTTCCTTCCCACTCACCTGCGATGGTCGGCTTCCCCACTCAGGCCCAAAATTTCATAGCACTTCGAAGCGATGGAGCATTAGCGCTTGCCGCCGGCGCTAACGCAAAAAAAGCTCGTGTTCGAATTTCCTCAGTAAGTCTGTATTCTGGCTAGGTGTCGTGGTACTTTTCAGGGTGAATGTGCCCTTTCAGTTGTTTTGCACTCTGGAAAGATCGGAAAGCATGCCAGCTGGAACTTTTGGGTTTGCACTCGTGTCTTTTGCGGTATGATATTTTGCCCTTTGCACGAAAAGCTGGAGGCCAAGTTGAGGGTGTTTCTTTCTGTTGTTGAGGGGCTTGCTGATTCTATCAGCGCAGTTATTTGTGTATGTATTTTGGAATGTTGCTTCTCACTCTGTTGTTGAGGGGCTTGCTGATTCTAGCAGCATAGTTATTTGTATATGTATTGGGGAATGTTGCTTCTCACTGACCGTGATACGAATATTTTGGCATTGCAGAGCTGACCTCGCGAACCTGGTCAATGAGGCTGCACTTCTTGCAGGACGCGGGAACAAGATGGCCGTTGGGAAGGAGGAGTTCAATCAGGCTGTTGAGCGTGCTGTGGCTGTAAGTCTCTGGAATTCTTCTTTTTTTTTTTTTTTTTTTTTTTTTTTTTTCAGACTGAAACTTTGTGGGTCGTAACACACAACAGAAAGCAAAAAAAACATGCTGAAAAGGTAACAGCTTCCCAAACAAAAAACTCGCAGTAAAAAAAAAAAAAGGTTCCGTGGTATGCCCTCCTGTTCTCTTGCAAATGTGCGAGGCACAAGGCCTCGATATGCCCTACAGGGCCTTGTTTTCAACATAGACGGCCGCCCTAAGTGAAGGCAGGCTCGACCGAGGCCCTACAGGCCATTTTGGGGTCACCACGCAACAGGGGAAATTCAGGCAGTTGCGCAGCGCCAGTTGGTTGAGAGCGCCCAGGCCCAGGCTGCCTCCTACGAATGTAACTGAGGCAGTCCCTGGGCCAGATTCGCTACATGGACCGAACACAGGCCGCAGGCAGTTGGACATGGGCAACCACCACAAGGCCCAGGGCCTGTTTTGTTTGGACTGGGGCTCAGCCTCTTTGGGCCTACCGGAAGCTTCTGGGCAGGGGCCCAGCACAGCCAGGCTGCACGCAAGCAGGCAGGCCACTTCCTTTAGGAAAGGGCCTGCTCACGCATTCGGCATTCGGGCACTGGCTGCATGCTGCGCTAACGCTGGCTGGCGCTCACATGCTCACGGGCGAGCTGGAAGGAGCAGGAAAGCATACCCGAGCTGTGCTGCAGGGGCCCAGCACAGCCAGGCTGCACGCAAGCAGGCAGGCCACTTCCATTTAGGAAAGGGCCTGCTCACGCATTCGGCATTCGGGCACTGGCTGCATGCTGCGCTAACGCTGGCTGGCGCTCACATGCTCACGGGCGAGCTGGAAGGAGCAGGMAAGCATAACCGAGCTGCGCTGCTGTATGCTGGATGGGGCGCATGGTGGTTCTTGGGTGCATGTGGCATTTGTGAGTTGGGGATCGAGGTTGTGAGTGATACGAGAGACATACCTGGTGCTTGAGGCGAACGGCATTGGCCGATATCTGCTCGTACTTCGGGGAGCTGTTGACGTCATCAGCGGCATTGTAGATAGGCTAGATAGGATCTGCGATCTGTAGTCTGGGCGCCGAGCGCCAGATAGGATATCGACATTGGTTCTTCGTTGATGATGATGAGACTATTCCAGCATTGTCAATTATGAGCTTTTGCTGTGCTCTTATTTGGTGGAACTCGTAATGCAATTCTGCTATTGGTTCGAGGTTACGACTATCTGGTCTCATGCGTACGATGCTGTTTGATTTCTGAAGTTCGCTATCGCTCATTTTCCTTGCAAACGGGTTTGAGCTGATGATAGGACAGTTCATTATGCTTTTTCTTTTCTTTTTTTTGTGGGCGAAGCCGCAACAGGTACCCTTGTCACTCTCGATTTTTGCTCCTTAGTCACTCTAAATTTATGTATTTTATTTCGGAGCTCTGTAATGTGCATTTTCAATTTTGCAGTGTAATTATGCTTGTTTTTTCCCTTTTCTTTTTTTTCCTTTTTTTTTTGTTGGACTGTGCTCTTAATGTCTGGAAAACGGGCCCAGTGTCCCTTACATCAAGTACACACTTTACGCTTCCCTTTGTTATGGTCAAGTGACCCTGAGACAGCACCATTGATTGCTTCCTGTTATAGGAAGGATGTACTACTGCTCCCCCTCTGCTTTCCATATCCTTCATTGCAAGACTGGCTACTTCAATTTCTCAAACTGCCCTCTTAGCAAAGGAGTCGGACATGCTCTCCTCTGAGGAGTACCTCTCAATCCCCAGACGTGTTCTCGTAGTTCAGGAATCTGATACCAAGGGGCCCTCCGATTGGCCACTCGTCTGGTCTCTCTGTAATTCGAATTTCAGTAGTCCTGCTGCTCCTGGGGGTCATCCCTATGGTACTGCACTTCTGCTCCTTGGAGAGTTGCTCCTAACCACCTTTTCAGCCTTTTCCATTACTTCTTGTCTCTTCAACGTCGGACCTGTCTGCTTATCTCGATCCTGCATACATAGAGATGCAGGTGACAAGACACCACCCATGTAGTTCGTCGGATTGGCTGCCTGATAGCTCAGCGCAAACCTCCTCAACCTCATCGTACCTTTGGATTCCCCTGCCCTTCAGGTCCAAGCACGGAATCTGAAAATGCTGAGGCTCTCTTTGGTTCCTTACTGTGTGTTATGTGTAAGAGCATCATACGTTGGGGCTGTTGCAGTCGAGCTCAACCAGTGAAGTTGAGTGAACTGAATACAGCTTCCTCCTCCGGATTCCGCTCATGCTGGATCACTGTCATGGCTGCCTGGTCTTGCTTTCGGTATTTCCCTGCGAGATCCGCCCAGTGAGTGTCATGTTGGCTCCCACTTTTTTCAATTCAGCCTTTCAGTTCAGTAACCATTCTGTGATGACAGGCTTCCTTTGAAGCACGCCCTAAGCGATCCAGGGTGTCCCGAAACTCTGCCACTTTATCTGATCTCTGTCTCCATCATTTGTATGAGGGAACCCCAAGCCTGTTCCTTGTCTATCTCGATGCCCTCAATAGTCATCAAGCACCTTTGCTTGGCCACGAAAGGAAAGCCCTACTTCAGCCATTTGATTCTCCTTCTGGCACATGGGCTTTTTTTTTGTGTGGATCAGAATCATCAGAACCAGGTACTACACTTTATCTTAGCGAAAAGGCCCAGAAAGGTATTACTCCTGGGCTCGTCTCTCGTGTTCTTGTTCTTTTGCCTCAGCTCCACTTGTTTCTCTTTTTCTTTCCTTTTTGAACTTCACTCACATGGTTTCCAGCATGTGCAGCTCCCCACCAAATGACTCTGCGAGGAACGAGCCCTCACAGAGCCCTATCAGACATCACATGTTCTGGGCAAAGGCCCCCATCAAGCCAAGTGCCCGCCCTAAGTGAAGGCGGGCCTGAATATTCGTCAGAGGCCAAAAACTCGACATTTTCATATGTGGTTATTCAGGCTCTTGCAGCACGTCAGTTGGTTGACTGGACGCGTGAGCTTCGCTAAGCTGCGTCGTACAGTTGGCCCAGGCCTTGACAGTTGTGCCTGGGCACATATACACAAAGCAGGGCCGATACATTGTGAGGCGGCCAGCGGCTTATGCAAAAGCAGTACTGTCGACGCACCTACCCCGCGGCCCTGCACGAATGCAGCAAACAGCCCAAGTCCGGAGACTCAGGCCGTGCCCAACTGTAAAGGGCCCAGGACCTCAACTGTAGCCTCGGACCTGGGCGCAGGGACTGAGGCCCAACCAGAAGCTACTGGAAGCTTCCAGCTAGGCCACACGCAGCATCCAGGAGGCTGCCACTTCCATATAGGAA